TTTCTTTCTCTGAAACCAACTGAGAGTTTCCTTGGCTTTGTGTTTGGGCTCATTGTCTTGCTAAAATGTCCAGCCACGTTTCATCTTCATCATCCTGGTAGATGGAAGCAGATTTTTATCAAGAATGTCTCTGTACATTTTTCCACTCATCCTTCCTTCATTTATTTGAAGTTTGCCAGTACCATATGCTGAAAAACAGCCCCACACCATGATGTTCCCACCTCCAAACTTCACTGTTGGTATGGTGTTTTTGGGCTGATGTGCAGTGCCATTTGACCTCCAAACATGATGTGTATTCTGGCATCCAAACAGTTCAATGTTGGTCTCATCTGACCAGACTATATTCTCCCAGTATTACACAGGCTTGTYTAAATGTTGTGCAGCAAACTTTAAAGGAGCTTCAACATGCTGTTTCTTCAGCAGTGGAGTCTTGCGTGGTGAGYGTGCATACAGGCCATGGTGGTTCAGTGCATTACTTATTGTTTTCTTTGAAACAATCGTACCTGCTAATTCCAGGTCTTTCTGAAGCTCTCCACAAGTGGTCCTTGGCTCTTGGACAACTCTTCTGATAATTCTTTTCACTCCTCTGTCAGAAATCTTGTGAGGAGCACCTGGTCGTCGTCGGTTTATGGTGAAATAATGTTCTTTCCACTTCTGAATTATGGCCCCAACAGTGCTCACTGGARCCTTCAGAAGTTTAGACATTCTTCTGTAACCGATGCCATCATTATGCTTTGCAACAATAAGGTTGTGAAGGTCTTGAGAGAGCTCTTTACTTTTACCCATCATCAGATGGTTCTTGTGTGATACCTGGCCATCATTTGGGACTGAACCAGCTGATATTAACTTGCACTGACAAGGGGCAGGCTTGCTTTCTAATTACTGAGAGAGTTCAGCTGGTGTCTTGGCTTTCCATGCCTTTTTACACCTCCCTTTCTTCATGTGTTCAATACTTTTTCCCTGTGCCATTCCACATTATTACAAATAACTTCATTTCTGGACATTTATGGTTTGATTTCTTTGTATGTATGGATCACTTGGGTTGTTACCRACATCTGGTGAAAATTTCATGTCATTAGCACCTCTAGTAATATATTTACTGAGAAAAATGKTGACGTGTTCAATACTTATTTTACCCGCTGTATATATATATATTACAAACTCACGTGAACACCTGTTCTGCAGATGATCGCCTTGATCTGCACTCCTCACCCCCAGGTTTCCTGCCGCAGTGTGAGCATGTTCCTGACCTGCGGTTGTTTTCATCTGCTTYGCTCTTATCAGCAAAAAACCTTTCTGCTACCTGTGGCAACAATCAACACAAAACAAAATTTATTTATATTAGATGAGTAAAGTCAGGCCTGAACCAATCACATCATGATCCCGTGTCTGAATAGAGACTGGCACGGTCTGGGCCGAGCACGTTTTGTCTGATCGTGACAAAGAGGTTGAAAGTGAGAGGTCAGCGCTGCCTGGTACTCAGCTGCTGAAGCCCTGTCTTTGTACTGAAACACAAAGAAACAGAGGCAGGCTGACAAAGACTGAGCAACACACACGTTGGCACTGATGGAGACTAAATTTAGCACTTTCAAACTAAAAAAAAAAAAACAGTTTAATCACCATTTGCTCAACTCTCCAGTTCATAAGCTTYTAGAAATGTACAAACATTTGTAGTCACATTGGGTTGGATTTGCATTTTGCTTTTACACTCCAGCCCAGTAGGTGGCGATAATCATCTTTGTTTTAATTGATTTTTTTTCATTAGGCATTTTTTTGTAGTTTGTTTCCCATCAACGTTCAACTTCTGGCTTCTGTTTGAACAGGAACAGAAGCCAGAAGCTGAAGCCACAAAATCGAGCGCCCCCTGGTGGTCAGCTGCAGTGTTTAAATCTTTATGTAATTATTTAATTTTCCGGATTCTCTTTTCTTGTTGGCACTTGTCAGAGTTTGCAACGGTTTTCAATAGAAAAGCCCACAAGCAAAGATGCTATAAAAACTTATGAGCATGTTTCGGTTTTCGGCTTTGTTCAAATTCTGTCAAGTTTATTCTTTATGAGGTGAAAACGGCACTTTGTCAAGAATCTCTTTTATTTAGAGATTTGTTAAAAAGCTTTTGACAAAAGTGACAAAGTTGCTATATTTTGCCACCAAATGCTGTCATTTTAGTATCACTAATTTAAAAAAAATCAAGCCTTTATAGAATTTTTCAAATATTTGCACGGTACTGGTTGTATTTCTACACCTGCTTTTTTCAGGATTTTACCATATTAAAAAAATGTATCTTTTATTTCATTACATTCAAACAAAAAAAAAAGATAATTTTACTTCTTTACTTTAAAAATGAGCACCTTGTTGCACGCTCCAAATTTAAACATGACCCGATCTCTTTACAGTGTAAATTTCTTTTCAACACTTCATTTCTTAAAAGTATTTCTACTTTCCTGATTATTGTGAGCAGTTTTATGACCTTTACTTGAACACTTTTCTTGTACGTGAAATTCCTTTTTACCAAAGTCGTTTTCTGTTGAGGTATTTTTTACTTTTACTTTATTTTTTACAAGTACTTTATACAAATGAAGGATCTGGACTCAAATAAAGTATAATCTGGACCCAATCGGTCGTTAAATTTTAGCAGARTTATCCAAATAATTTCTGTTCTCTTCGGATAGATCTGCAGATGTTTTTAGAAAATGTTTTGAACGTCACACATCAGCTCAGTTYATCACTGTTTGTTGCTTTCATCTTCACAAACAGCATGATTGACGTTATTTTGTTATTAACCCAAATGCCTGTGGGCACATTACAACTGCAATCCTTTCCTGTTGAGAACAGATACTACAAAAGATTTATGCGAAGTTCCCTTTCAGGGTGTAACAGTTTTAAGTTTTATTCATAAACTGTAGCTCTGTGTTTCCCCCCGAGGCGGGTTTGACACCAACTCCACAAATTTGACCCTCAAAGTGAGAAAAAAACATGTTTTTAAAGACATCTTCAGGGTTAGAGCTTCGTGCTTTTATTGGACACGTCAAAGTTGCTTCGGTTGTCGAGAGGTCAATGGAGTAAGCTCTATTTTTTCTTTTCAAAATAAAAGGATATTAGATTTTTGGCAGATAAATTGAGGTATCATATACAGAAAACCGTGTTTTATTGATGTGTTTTCAGGAAAAAAAAATAACTTGAACCAAAAAAATTATAATAATTCAAAGTTGTTTCTGGTTTTCAGTTTTTTAATACCTTCTACCATTTTTTCCTGTTTTTTTTTTTTTTTTTTTTTTTTTTTTTTTTTTTTACTTTTCGGCCACCATTTTTATATTAAAATCAATTTAAACAGAGTAAAAAAAGAATATAATAATTTTTTTGCCAAATTATGTCAGCTTTTTGGTGCAGCATTGAAAGAAAATGGAATAAAATCTGTGTTTTTCCTTTTCTTTTTTGCTTGAATTTCACGTTTAAAAGCAGCATGAACAAAAAAGTGAAATTAACAGCAAGTCCCGYGTAAACACACACTGCATGTTCAAACCACAACTTTCCTCATCTTCCATCGGTTTTACCTGAAGGCTCCAGATTTATTCGCCTGTCAGGAAAAAAACCACTCCAAAATGAAAGAAACCCAAACYGTTGACAGTAAAAGTTATCTTTCAGAGAAGGAACTGAAAAAGCCAACTCTTAGTGCTCGTCTTTTTAAAGAACTCAGAGGTTTTTCTGACTATTGCAACGTCTCGTGCAAACATTGGTTTTCCAGGAACGGAAGACGTCTGCGCAGGAATGCTTGGATTTTACCTCTAATTTTAGGATCAACTTGTGTTCAGTTTAACCTCACACACGCAGGTCAAACGGGCCGTTGTTGGCTCAGGAGCTTCAGCTTTAAAAGCTYCAAATCCTCGAAAGAAGGCAGCGTGGACGTCTGTAAAAAACCACCAAAACCAAACAAGTTCTCCACTGAGATTAGGAGAAAGTGTGTTAATAAAAAAAAGGCAGTTTATTTTATTTTATTTTTACTAAAGTGAGAAAAAATTTAACTTAATAAAATATTTGATACAGAGGTTTTCACCAGCAAATAACAAAGGCAGGTCATTTTTGTGTTTCCATCTGTGTCTGTTAGCAAAATATTTCAAGAACCAGTGGAGKTATTTTAATGAAACCTATAAAAAGTAATCACTAGATTAACATCTACAACTGATTAACTTTTGGGGTCAACCCAGTTCAAGATGGTCCCCACAGTCAGCTGAAATTAAAAACCTAGAACAATATAATAGCTTAAACAGTTTCAAAGATAATAAGCTAAAATTTAGTGTGGTAGTAGCTGAGCATTGTCCCCAGCACATGCTGTAAGGGCAATGCATTGTGGGACAGCTTTGCATTACCACCTTGGTGTTAACTGTTTAAGTTATCCTTGCTTGTCTGTTAGCAAAATATCTCATGAACCACCAGATGGATTTTGATGAAACTTGCAGGAGTTAGTCACTAGGTCGACTAAAACAAATGATTAATGTTTGGAGTCAGCCCATTTCAAGATGGCTGCCACATTTAACAGATTTTAAAAACACTAAAAATGACGATAGAATACTTGATTTTAAAGCCGACGAGCTAAAATTAGGTGTGGTAGTAGCTGAGCATCGTCCCCAATATGTGCTTTAAGGGCAACACATTGTGGGACATCATTGCATAAAAATCTTGCATTAACTGTTGAAGTTGACCTTGCTTGACTGTTAACAAAATATCTCACAAACTACCCAGCAGATTTCAATGGATCTATCAGAAAGCAATTACTGGTTGAGCATCTACAGCTGATTAACATTTGGAGTCCAGTTGATTCAAAATGGCCACCCATTCACTATTAACCATCTCAAAAGATGGATTTTACAAACGTTGAGCTAAATTTTGGTGTGGTAGTAGYTGAGAGTCATTCCCAKCAAATRMTCCTGAGCTTTACTCTCTTAGGTAGAATAAAAGAAACTGAGTGAGCGATTGAAAGCGYGTGGATGAGTGTGAGGAGGAGACCAGCGTGGCGTGAATGGGACGTTTGTTCGTCCCTCTGGTGTCCTCCCCGGCCTCCCCTGCTGCTCGGTGCCTGGCGTCCAGGGGAACTTCCTCTCACACCGACCTCCGCCGTCCTCGCATTAGCATTTTCACCGCCGCGAGGGGCTTGGTTGCTCGCTTCGGGGGCCTCATTATGCACGGACTTGGGAAGACGGAGAGAGGGGAGCAGGGCCGAGACCTGGACCTGACGTCTCTCAGATCCACCATGCCGGCCGGCGGCCCTCTGCAGGTCAGTACCCTTCTCCCTGAACCGCCGCTCCTGTCTCACAGCTGTGGTATGTGCTGCTTACGTGAGAGCTCAGGATCAGAAAGGTGCTGTTTGGCTCTCCGGGTCTATTTCCAGACAAAGACGTGATCAGGACATCCATCAAATATCAATTAGAACCTGTGTGGCAAGGCTAAGAAAGTCCTCTAATGTAACTGTGGAGGAACAGACACACGTTRACGCAGAAGGAAAGGAGGTCACTGCTGGGTTGGAAACCTGGTGCCTATGAAAACACCTTCTTGATAGTTTTCATGATCTGAATGCCTTTCTCTATTTATCCAGCTGACAGACATGAAGAATGAAACATATGACYTCAACCGAAGTGGAAAATATGCTCAATTACTCATCCTGGAAGCCATGCCAGCTCAGACTTGTAATAACGTGGATGATCCTGCAGCTATGCATCACATTTATGTTTTAACAAGCAAACAGGGGCTGCCTGTGTTTATATAACAAGAYGGTGTAATAAATGTTACAGATAATGGATGAAGGGATGAAAAGAAGCAGCAGCAGTGTGTGGAGCACTGTTAGCAAGAATCAAACAGCCCTCCTAATTATTATAGTTTTCACTAAATGACTCATAAGGCCTTAACCTATGCTTCCCTTGGGTCAAACTGAGGCCTTGAGGGTGATTTTGACCCCAAGGAACATTTACTCTATCTGCAGAAAAATCAATACTGTCACTGTATTCTGTGTGCTACGTTCTGCAAAAAAAACTACAAACCTATGTGACGATTAACCATCTCTCATTACCCAGCGTTTTATCTATAATCTAGGGTTTTAGTGCATGACTCAGATAAATACATAAATACCAACTACCCACAGCTAAACTGCAGAGAAATGTTCGTATTTTATGATAAATGACAGCTGCTAAAATAATGTGTTCAACCAGTAAGTGCCATTAAAATAATTTAGAAAATATTGAATCTGTTGAAGGATTTTATATATATATATACAC